TAGAGAATTGAAAAGTCGATTCAGTCGTAACAACGTTAGTGAGGAAATTCGAGTAGTTTTGACCCAGAAAGCAAAATTTGAATATCAGACACTTAGGTGCAAGATTATGCCAAAATTCCGTTTTCCGTCCCGTTTTTGCTCATATCTCGGAGGCAAAATGAGCAAGAATGCTCATTTGTACATCATTCTAGAGAGAAATAAATGGCCTTTTCAGAAAGTGAACCATGGATGGGGAAATGTTGGCAATTTTCTTAAAAAATGCTTGATTTCAAGAAGTTTTAGATTTGCGTGGTTTTCTTTGAGTTGCAAAATTCACTTGAACATGACGCTGCTTTTTTCGAAGTTTCTCAAGAACCATTCGAGCCAGAAAATTAGTTTTGGCATCGTTGGATAGAGAATTGAATGGGGGATCCCCCCTGGATCTGCCCTTGCTCTCTTCGCACCGGAAACACTTGGTTTCTGAGAAAACCAGAAACGTTTCCGAATTGATGTGTTATACACAGTGACTCAGTGTATTTATATGCGATTTCAGAGACTATCCAAACAATGTGAGCCGCAACACAAACCCACTGTGGACTTGGCGCTGACTACGATGACTGCCGTAGCCGCAGACATCAACAACATGAAACGAAAGCATGAGGATGCTGTTCGGGTGCAGGTAAGCATTGATTTTGAGGCTCTTCTGTGCAGTGACTAAAGAGCCTGATTGCTCCTCGATAGGAAATCCAATCGCAACTATACGGATGGACGGGGGCTGATCTAACCACCCTCGGGGAGCTGATAGCCGAGGGCACATTCCGGGTCCAAGGCGCCAAAGGCCGCAGGCACGTCTTCCTATTCGAGAAGGTCCTGCTGTTGGCCAAAAGTAAGACTGAGGGCGCTTTGGCCTACAAAACCCACATCGAGGTAAGTGTGTCATCTGAGCCGCATTGAATGTTGGTTGGTATCAAGCAATTGGTCTTCTGCCCCGCAGTGCTCCAACTTGATGCTAGTGGAACAAGTGCGAGGAGAGCCGCTCTCCTTCCAAATACTGCCGTTTGATAACCCGCGCCTCCAATGCACCTTGAGGGCCAGGTCTCCGCAACACAAGCGGGAATGGACGTTGCAGATCAAAAGGGTCATTTTGGAGAACTACAGTGCTGTGATACCCAACCACGCCCGGCAGCTGGTCATGCAGCTGGGACAGGATGTTCAAGATAATGGTATACTTAATTTTCAGTCCCTTTCCAGAACCTCCTTCAATGGGAGGAGCGCTGACTATTTACACCATCTTGATTGTTAAATACAGTTTAATTTCCAGAGGATACATCAGATAGATGGTCGCCGCTGAAGCACAATTCCATCACTCCCCATTACTTGGAGAGACGGACGCGTGTAAGGAAAACCCGAGAACTGTCCAAGGAAAGGTCGGTGTCCCAGGACAGGGTGTTTACATCGTTCGGAAGTTGGCGACGAAAGTCTGAGCCCAGCATGGTAATGTCGCACCGTTTCAAGTCCGTTTTGGGCACTAATCAAGGGCGGGTTTCAGATTCCGCAGCAGTACGACGCCAAAGTGATACCAAAAAAGATCTCAAAGCTGAAAAAGTCCAAAGAGACTGGCAGCTCGACCTTCTACACGGACTTGTCCGACTTGGAGAACTGCGACTTGGCAGCGGAATCGGTGGAGAGTCTCTCCAGCAAGGTGCGGGAGGACAGCAAAGAGGAGCCGGATGGGCACGTGGAGGAAATCAGCCCGAAAACAATCGAGAGCAATTTGGAGAAGATCGTTTCCGAGCTGCTGATGCAGAACCAGGACTTTCACAAGGTGAGCTTTTCAGCCTGCTGCAAATTCTCATGGAAAAGCGTTTGATCCCCTGGTCCACATCTGCACCTTTATTTGCTCGCACGCTTATCACCAGCTTGGTGCTAAGCCACGCATTCGATCACATGCTGAATGGTTTTCTCATGACTTTCCGCTTGAATCATTCATGCAGGGCGATTAGTGAGGAGCGAGACTGGAAGTCAAGTTTGTTGTACTTTTGTTAGACTATGTAAAGCATTCTACTCGAAAAAATGTACGCTACTATAATTTTGAAACACCAAATAATAATTAAACTCGTAGAATTTTCTTTTTTGAATTAATAGCCGATTTGACGAACGATTTTCTATAAAAACTGCATCTCGGAAAATTGCAATCGGTTAAGGTCGAAAAGACGATTTCCCGAACAAAATACTTTGAATTGCACCGCGATTAACTCATTTTGAAAATAAAACATCAGATTGTTCGCAGTGTATTCTAGACACATTCACTGTCTATAAGGAAATTTTCATTTGCAACAGTTTGGATCATGTTTTTCAATAAGTTCGATGCATTCCTCGCGTCCGTGAGTTGAAAATGATGTGAAATTTAACACTTTTTGAAAACATTTTAATTTTTTCAAAAAATCGACCCTCACCCCTCGACGTAAGAAGGTCACAAATATGCATTCATAAAGTGTTTGGATCAATAATAAGGAAGAAATAGTCGAATAAAGATCGTGAACGCTCGAAAACCGCTTAAAATGTGCCGAAAATGTCTATTATTTCGGATCTGAAACTTCTACCATGTTTTTCAATCAGTTCGATGCATTCCTCGCGTCCGTGCGCTGAAAATGATGTAAAATTTAAGACGTTTTGGGAAAATTTTAATTTTTACAAAAAATCGACCCTTGGAAAAATTTCGGCCAAAAAGCAAAATTTCACATGCGTGTTTTTTGAGCTCAATCGATTCCTTTCGACGTAAGAAGGTCACAAATATGCATTTTTTAAGTTTTTGGGTCAATAATAAGGAAGAAATCATCGGATAAAGATCGTGAATGATATATATACGAAGATATTTTCAAAAAATCGATTCCAAGAAATTGATAGTAATTTTCCTACCAATTCCGCAAAGCGAGTAAAAACCAAAAAAAAAATCCATAGTTGCTTCAGTTAGGTAGTGATTAACAGATTCATATCAAAAGCTCGCACTAACCAGATCATCACTAAGTCACCGTTTTCCCCCTGCTGACTTGCAGGTGTTCAACAGGAGTCTTCACCAGAACCCACGCCACCCTAGACGCAATGTCACTAGCGAACCGGGCCCCATTTGGTACGACGAAAGACCGGAACTTCCCAGCAAAGCTGACTCGTTGCCGCGCTCCTTCCAATTAAACGACCCCGAGCTGGCTCAGGAACCCGATGAGAAAAGTGAGGAGTTTAGAGAGCCGCAACACAAGTGAGTAAACGAACGCAATTTTCCTTTCGAGTCTTTGCCAATGTTTGATTCCAGTGATATGTCCTCCCGCCTGGACGAAACTGACCATCCAGAGTACAAGATTTACCGCAAAACCCCCATTCGGCTCAGTATCCTGCAGCGGTTGCGGATGGTTCTGTCTGAAGACCAGCGACGGAACAAGTACCCATTCCTGAAACAGTCGGCGTGTAAAACCACGGGGGAGAAGCTGGCCAATCCGGACTACGTGGATCCGCAGACACTATTTGCCAGTTCGCGCAACAATAGTCAAGCGAGCCTAAGTCTGGATAGCGGGGTGGCCAGCGGCTGCTTCGAGCCTCCTGAGGACTTCATGGGCGAGCGCGTCGAGCTCGACATGTCGCTCAATGAGAAAGAAGTACTGAGGGAGATAGACCAAAGGCTGAGCGAACCTAGTCGGACGTCGCCTTCGGATAGCTACTACGAAAGCATCCTGGATAGTTCGCTCAAGGAGGAGTACGTGCAGGATAAAGCGACTGGGAAGATGGTGGCAAAGTCCGATAGTTTCACCAACAACGATCGGATGTGCTTTACTTTGGCCAGCTCTGCGCCTCACAGCCAGAGCAAGCAAGTGCTCAAACGACCCACTAAAGCCCCACCGCCGATTCCTGCGAAGCCTTTGAGACTGACCAGGAGCGGCCCTGGCAAACACCCGGCAAATGGCGAAAACAGCCAAACTAGTTGGGTCAAGGCTATGGTGGGCCGCTTTGAATGATTCCACTCTACTTTTTAACATATATTGACAATAATGACCAACTTGACCAATTAGCAACAATCCTGCAGGGTTTCCCACCTTTTTAATTTATTTTTGTCAATGCCAGATGAGTGAAGCCGTCTGACCCGGCTGTTGTAAATCTAGCATGCATTTTAACAAAATGTATAGTTTAGTTCCATTGTTTAAGTCGCTCGCTTGTTTTTATCGTTCATCTTAACTCTTAAGTTAAGTTAGTTGAACGATAAAAGTGAAGCCTCGACTTCTAGGCCTTATGTGTAGTCGCAACATACAAAACTAAGTAAATATCACTGTTGAGTCTGAAGAATTTATTCAAGCCGTAGCTATATATAAGATATTTTATTAGTAACTATTTATGTACGATGGGAGCTGAGAGAGAAACAGAGGAATATCTAGTTTTAAGACTTAAAACGTGCCAAATAGAGTGTAAACACACATGTTTCAATTGAAAGTAAATTATTGATGATTCTAGGAATTACTAATAATTTTTTTGTAAAAACTAAATAGATTCACATATTTAAGATGTTTAAACTTGATTATCAGTTACTTCCTTTGGGCTTTCCCCGGTAGCCAGTGAAGCGGTTTTTGAATTCCTCCGGAGTCAAATCAGCGAACTGATTCACTCCTTGGGTGTAGGTCACTTCGCCTTTGGCAAACTTCTCATTGTGCTCCTTGATGTTCTTCAGGTTATTTTGGAAGATTTCGAACCTTCTGGACTCCTCATCAGGGGCCTCATAGGATTTTTTAAATCCAGTCTATAAGTTGCAGCAACTAAACCAGTGAATGGACCACAAAATGAGGATTCATACCTTGAATTTCGTCCATTCCTCTTGGTCGCTTAGCAGTACGGGGGCAGTCATTGCGCTTCCTACTAGGGCCACAAAGAGAAGTAGCATTAAATGCATTTTTTTTTACAATAAATGCGAATAACGCTGCACAAATTAATAGGTAAGTTGTCGATTCAATCTCGCGCTCAACAAACATACACTAATAATTTCAAGGATATTTTTATATAACATTGTTGAAATTCTGGCTTACCTAGATGGGTCGTTGGCGGCAAAGAATCAAGGCGAAGGCTGATGTGCGACTTTCACGAATGTTCACCAACAAACGCAAATCAATGTTTATTGTGATTTTGTGTTGGCTCAATGCAATTGCTTTGTTTAGTCAACAGTATAATTAAACCCGTGACTCATCACAAGCGTATATGTGTAACATTGTGCACAAGCTGTTGTTTTTCAAGCAATCTTCGATTTTTCATCAAGTCCGCAGGTTTTTAAAAAAATTCTCACTCCCAGACCAAGGCAAGCAGGAACGTGAAATTTTCACGGAGTGTTAACAGTGTGAATATCTGCAATTGTGGCCAATTTGACTAAATGCAACCAGACGCTTAATTAAAAAATATATTTATTTTTGCAAACTAGCGCTTGTAGACCTGATGAAGGACTCAAACTGGGAAAAACGTTCAAAGCGCCATAAAACTCAATTTTCTTTACTTTCTCTTTTCTTTTCTCACAACAACAATTTGTTTTTCTAAGTTGCGACTCTATTTAAAATTTTAAACACCAAAAAATAAATATATCATTTAAACCCGCCCGCTAAATGCGCCTGAATGTTGCCGCACTTTGTTTGGTAGACTCCGTAGTAATCGGGCAACACTGCCGCGCAGTCTGTCAAAATTGAATACAGCTTAATCACTTTGCTTCAAAGAATTTTAGAGTTTTCATCAATTTCTTGCAAAAAACTACAGTGAATATGTCCGAAAAGCCTAAGCTGGACCTGGGAGTTCTTGAGGAAGACGACGAGTTTGAAGAGTTTCCTGTGGAAGGTAAGTTTTCAACTTTCCAATATTGAGGTTAGATCAGGCCCAAATTGAGCTTAACAAAGCCTTTATTTGCGTATTTTGAGCCAAAACTTGGGGTCTATAGAAGGACATTCACTTGATAATTAATGCTTCATTTCAATTAAGCACACACTTACATTTCGTGAAGATATTCCGTGGTTCTATAGACCCCTAAACTTTGAGACCAAATTCTCAAGCAAAAGGGTGTCCAAAGTATGTCCCCGGCTCAATTACATAGAGCTTAAGTAATTATTAATTCATTCAATTCACTTTGGAAATGGTGTCATTGAGGCAAACTAATAAAATTGTCATGTACTAGACTGGACTGAGAAGGAAAAGGATGATCAGGACATTAGTGTGTGGGAAGACAACTGGGAAGATGATAATATAGAGGACGATTTCAACAAACAATTGAGGTACTTAACACATTTTTCCCCTGTTTCTTATGCCCCCCCAACAATCCGTCATCGTTTCAGAGCCCAACTGGAGAAACAAAAGACTCAAAAACCACAAACGGCTTGAAAAGTAGTTAACAGTATAGTCTTTAAGTTTGTAATATAAAAAGGATTTTCTATCGAGTGTCGGATATGTTTACTTTCAATTACATATAATCAACATCAAATTTTTCCGACTCAGTCCTGGCCCCGACAGCGCAAGACATCAGCGCTTGAATGCTCCTCTCTTCGCCACTTCCATAAATGTATCCATTTGCCTGAAATGAAAAAATCCTCTTAGAACAAATCCCCATTTCAACCACTTTGCCTACTTATATACCTTATCAGTTGCGCTTTTCAACGCCAACAAACTCTTGTCCGAATTAACATCCACAGGTATAAAAGCCACCAGACTGTAGTCTTCGACTAGCTCAATGATTGCCTTGTTGAGGTTCTTGAATTTTTTGCTGAAAGGGCCATCATCAAGGAGATCCAGCAGGTAGTGTAGGTCCAGCACATCCGTGTAGAAATCCACGCCGAAATCCAGCTTTTTTGCGTTCGCTTTGAGCAGGTCAGCCTGTTAAAATATGAGTTATTAACGGGCAAAGATAATTGAATGGTTTTAGAACCTTGCTTAGAACATTCACATGGGGCAAGGCCACTTGAATCATAGTGGACAAAGACAACAGCAACGTGGATATGAATTTGCTTGCATCTGAACAGTGATGGGAATCAACCAGATGGACAGCACACAAGTGGTAGTTGAGCTTCTCCAGCTTGGCGAATATGTTCTTAATGGAGTTATGGTGGGTGTAGAGCTCCACTTGCCCGGGCATGTCAAATATTAAGTAGCTGTCTTTGACTTGAACTAGTTGCTTTAATAACCATTCGAAGTTCTGCTCCAAGTACTCCATGCAGTACATCAAAGCGCCGTTTGGTCCTTCAAACGATCAGTAAATATTAAACTGGTGCGTTGTGAATGTTGCCGAGATGTGCTTACCTAGATTATATTTTTTCATCACTTTCTCTACAGTAATCAGATTCATAAGATCGATCGTCGGGGCATAGCCCATGTTTTCATTGGCTGGGTCTAGATTAACCACCTGCACTTGTCTGTTTAACTTGTTCTTGTAAAACTCATACACTTTGCCACAGTACGTAGTCTTTCCACTGCCTGGCGGTCCGAGCACAACCTGACCAAAATAACTCTCCGCTAGTTTAGTCCTTTTCACTAGGGCCATTCTGCTCTAGTTGGCCTTAAACTCCTTAATACACTTTACGATTAGCTTCAAATGCTCCGGCCTGTAGCTTTTCAGCGTCAGACTAACAGTTAGGGGCTGTTTAACGTCCAGTTGCTCCGCAATAAAACGAACACCTGCCTCTATCTCTGTGTTGTCTCCACCCAGCAAAGTGCGCAAATTAAACACCCTCTCATTAGCCAGTATCCCGTTTTTCACTTCTTCGCTCTCTACAGCGTAGAGATTGCCGATCTTCCCAAACTGCGTGATAAAGTAGCAGGTGTTGTTGCTAAAGTAGCTAATAATCACCTCTGTATGGTGGCCAGCGATCACAGCAGCGAAATTTTCAACACTTAAAGGGGCTTCACTGTTCAAGTTCACCAAGTTAATTTGCTCACTTAAATCCATAGTTTCAAACCAAACATTACGGCTTTGACTGTAGGGATTGATTAAAATGCGTTTTTTTCTCAACTTTTTAGGTTAGACACGACTGAAATCATGTCATGTAATGACAGTTCTACGATTTCATTTTTTGCTCAGGCCGTGAGTGCGCTGTTATGGCGTGTCTCAGCTGATCGAAGAAGTTCTGTTCAGGCTTGCCAAATCTACCGTTTTCTACGTCTACCTAAACGTTACTTTTTATATTGTTAGATATGGATCTGCCATTTGAGCATTTTTTTAAACTATATTGAATCTTGAGTCTGGATCGCCCATTTGAGTAGACCCTTGTCTTGTCTTCATCTATGAGTAGACTTTATGCAGGGGAGAATGGTGAACTTTGCAACGTCGAAAGGTCGCTGAAAAGACATTTTTGTCTCAAAACCAGGTAATTACTTTTTCTTTACGTGAATTAAACACGAAATTAAACGGTTCTTATACACATTATCAATAAGAACAGTTCGAGTTTTAAGTATTTTTGCTCAATCTTGACTAGTCAAATTTGCTACTGTAGCTGTTCTGCTGCGATCACATCTTCAATGCGAATTTCTGACTCATTCTTCAAACCGTTGGCAAAAATCAGACTTTAGTGCGACTGAAGTGGAAATTTAAGCGCTGACAACCACATCAGTCTTCTATAGGGTGTGAAAGTTTCAAGTTGCTACTTGCTCTAAATGGAAAGTTATGAATTTTTAAAGAAGAGCGTGCAGTTGAGGAAAAGTGCGAATTTTCCGTCGCTCTTTATAGCGCAATCAAAGTGAAGCATTCAGAAATCATGGCATATTATGCGAATGGTTTACTTTGATTCTGGTGGATCTGCAAAATTGCACAGCCTTCTACAATAGGTCAAGCTCAAAATGTTTTCACGTTTCAAGACAATTGAACAAACGATTGATCGGAAAGCGAGTATTTAATTTAGCCTTCAAAAGTCGCCCCTTGAACGGCGATGTTTGTTCATCTTTACCCGAGGTCCAACGTTGTTTACACTAAATATCCAAACCAGATCGATCGCGGATTGGAAATTTGTAGAAAATCGTCAATAAGAAAAAAAAACTGAAATCGAACAACACAGCAATACAATGAGTCACCCAAAGGGCCAGCGAGCAAAAGATTATATCATTATGTGAGCTCGGTGCGTTTTTTATGTGATAAACACCTTCATTTCGTACGACTTTTATAGGAATGCTGAACATTTAGGTCAGTCTATTATGGACAAGGGAGCAAATTGGTCGTCGGTTATTTGTTCATAAACGGCATAAAAGTACCAATTTAGTGCCATTTAGGCACGAACGGTCGACCATCTTACTGTTAATTTCTGAGTGTAATTCACATTTATTTTCAACTTTGTGTGGATTTCAATTGTGTGTGCTTTTTGATGTTTAATGGATAGACAATGGAAAATCGGGCGCCAGTTTGCAGAAAGCAGGTAAGCAGGATTATTCATCTATAAACCCTTAACTTGAACTGATTTCAATTTTCGAGAAACATTTACAGTTTTATTCAGTTTTCTATTTCTTTTTCTTTCCAATCAAATCACTGGGTTTTCGACTAAGTTGATGTAATAAAACAGATTTTTCGGATTCGCATTACTTTTACCGTGAGTGATCCGGGCCAACCCATTTAGATTTTGCGCTGTTTTTCAAATTTTTTTTTCTTTAACCAGCATACATCAGTGCATTTCGCAGATGTGATTAAGTCACATGCTTGTTGAAAATTTAAACAAATTATTTTTCGCTAAATGATTTGTGCTAGGGATTTTCAGGGGCTGGGATCCGACCGAATAATTGCATTTTTGATTGTTTATTGCATTATTGTAGGATAGCACGTTAAAACGTTGTGTGTGATTTCGCGGTATTTTTTTCCAAATTTAAAAATTTAGACAAATTTTTTTTTGCTAAAAGATTGGTGCTAGGGATTTTCAGGTACTGGGATCCGTCCGAAACAGCGTCGCTTTTTCTTTTTAGGAGCGGCTGATCCAGGCATTCGCCGACACGTTCCAAATTGATTGGTAAATATTTGAAAAAAAAAACGTATAGCGACATGCTGATGAGGATATTAACAGTTTTAAGTCGTTAATACATACAGTTTCAATTAAACAATTACATGGGGCGATAGGGAGCCCTTCGAAAAGCAGGGGTCTACAGCAGTTCAACAATATAAAAAATGTTATGTTACTAAACAATTAAGAAATTTAAGTTCGTACCTACTTGAGAGCACATAATGGAAAACTTATTACAAACAAATAAAATACTTTTTTGCGGAAGATATTTATAAAAATAAATCTTTTCGGGGCAAAAATAGCCAAATCCAATGATTCCAAAAAGCGACAAGAAAAGACATAAAACGCAAATTTACATCGCTTACAAACGAGTACTGAAGTTTTGCATAGGTACATTGATTTGGAAACTTGAAATGACAACCTGCAGCATTGTTTCAGTGTTCATCTATGCATATTAGGAGGCTGGAATGCAGCGGTGGGTAAAAGCGGAAACCCAATGAAAAAAAAACTAATCAATTATGCCAAAGTATAATTTTAAATCGATGAAACAACCAAAATATTCATATGTAATTACATCCTATCAAAATTTTTAGTACAAAACTGTTAACGAAAATTATCGACGACGATTAACTTGAAGAAAATAATCGAAAAACTAGAACAAACATGTTACTTAAGCGGTACTAAATACAAATTATATTAGTCAACAGGCCAACCAAAATGATTGGACAAGAGGATCTGATGATTTCTTTAAATTTCAGCAGGTTTGCACCCTGATGGGGGAATTAAAGTAAATTTCGAAAGTTCTTATTTGAGCCCTGCTAAAGGCCAATCCCTACGAACTACAACTATCCCGTCTAAATAGTCCGTCAAGACTGCCCTTTCTTCCAAATTAAGATTAATGTTATAGCATAATACAATAATTGGTTAAAGTAAAGTTACTGAGGTTTGATAACCCAATTTAAACTATTTTCCTATTAAACCTTTTAAATTTTTTGGCTAATGGGGGATGAAAGTATCACCGTGTGTTGTCCACCACTGGACACTCGAACTATTTTTCTATCATTCATCTGCTTACTTTTCACTTGGGTTGGTTCATCATAGTCGTCGTCTTCGCCTAGTCCTAGTTGACCGTTTGTGCCCATGCCCCATCCATATAGAATTCCTGTTAAACAATTTCAATTGATAGAATCTAGTATCCCAAAAGTGAATATTATAGGCACCTTGAGCGGAAACTGCAAAAGAAGTCGCTGACCCGCACGCCACATTCACAATTTCCTCCTTAGATAAGCTGGTAATTTCCGTTAAAGTTTTAGCGTCGTCCGATCCTTTGCCTGCGTAAAACAAAGTACATTTTCAACATTGTCTAAATTATGCCATATCAATGAATATAACCTAGTCCGAGCCGGCCGTACTCTTTCCTGCCTATAGCATACACTTTACCATCTGTTGTTAGGCCTAAGGTATGGTGTTGTCCTCCGGAAATATGTCGCCAGTTGTATTTTGAGAAATCCTTGCTAATCATTGGAATATAGTTGGGTTCCGTTATGTCTAATCCTAAGTAAAGAACATTATTAGTTAGTATAGGTTTATAAATTTCACGACTTCTCTTACCTATTTGATTGAAGTTGTTCAGTCCAAACACGTAAATATCCTTTTTGTCGGCAACTCGAATAAATGTGCTGTAAGTGCCTGCCCAAATGTTATCGAAATGTAACTTTGAACTCGCCTTTAAGACGATTGGACCAGGACAAACCAGGCCTCCTGAAATGATACACAGTTGTTATTGAATCGTTTACCTTAGCTCTTTCTTAAATCAACCTACCCAAATTCTTTGAAATAGAAAAAGCTCGCGAATTTCGGTCGCTTCCCCTCTTGGTTATTCGGCCCAATTGTCCCTGTTCAGCGCATCCACATGTAAACACTTGCCCGTCACTGTTCAAAAATACAATGTGGTCTGCTCCGGACGCGATTTTCAGTATTTTCTGATCATGGATAATTTCATATGGAAAACGTTCGTTGCCATTGATTGTTAGACCCATGTTTCCATGAGAGTCCTACCAAAAAAAGTAAATAAAGGGCGGTAAAGTGATGGTAAATAAATACGAAAAAAGGCTCAAACACAACAAGGCTTTGAATATTAATTGACAGAATATGGTCGAGACAAACTTTCTTACTCTGAATGTGCCCCATGCAAACACGCGTCCATCTTCCAACAGAGCTGCCGTATGGGAGTCGCCAGCTGTGACTTGTATAACTTTGGCAGGAAGTTCAACTTCTCCTGGTGTAAACTCAGCATCCTCCTTACCGTCCGTGACTCTGCCTAGAGCGCCTTCGTCATTGCAACCAAAGGTCAAAACTTTACCTTTCTTAGTGATACACACTGTGTGCATTCCGCCCGCGTAAACATCAACAATTTCGTGGTCTAACTTGACCAAAGCCGCTCTGGACTTTTCCAGGACATCTGGGCCCAGGCCTAATTGGCCCACATCACCAGAACCCGTTACGAGAACCTCACCACCTGCGGTAATGTCTGGGAGTTTGACGAACTCGAGGGAAACTGGAAAATAAATTTAAGAGGTGCGTTTCTAATGAGACCACTGAAAAAGTGCGACTTACATTTGGTTCTCTTTGTTTTCAAGGGGGTGGATTTGACTTCTTCGATTTTTCGCTTGGGCGCCATTATATTAATGTAACTTTATAAAGGCTGCACTTTGGAGAAACTATGTTCTCATGTGCCCAATTTAGCCACGGAAAACAGAATGTTAAGCTTGAAGGAAGTGTGGTTAGAATCATTTAACCGCCAAACTGCAAATCGGTTTGTCAGAAGATCAGCGTTGCCAACACAGCTTGTTTCATAGATGAAGACAACTAGACAACAACAACGGCTTGTTCCTGCGGAATAAATTCTATAAAATTATGGTAATAGTATAAAAATTAATTTTGTCACAATGCTTTGATGGCATTTATTACGCAGCATATTTTTATTATTTTTTTTGGCCGAGTTGGGCTTGATTGTTGAAAGCAGTTTCACTGGGAAAATGCAGATCGCCCATAGAATAATGCAAGCACATATTTACACATTTCTATTGAAGAAAGTGATCGCAAACTATTATACGATATGTAAGAGAAACTTCAATATTAAAAACACACTAATTATTTTAATTTTTTTTATTAAAAAATTACCACCTAACGCAAAATTGAAAATTTTACCTCCCATAAAAATGCCTTAAACAATTTTTATAAAGCCAATCTTTACTTTTACTAGTTTCTGAGCAAATAGCTTTGAAACAACCTGCCTGCATGAGCGAAATAACACAAAATTTATAAGAAATCCCGTGTTTTTTCCCTTTTTCTTTGCGAGTATCAAAGGGCTTACCACTTAAAGAGCACACCTTGACCTACTGGATTTACCCCAAGATAACTCTCCAACTTTTCTAGATATTGAGGAAATAATTGCCAAATTTAAGCTTGCAAAACGTGCTCCAAAACAAGGCAGATTTTTCTTTTGGATAAGGAAAGACACTCTTTCTTTGTTTAAGGTTTCTTTCTTTTTATTACACCTTGGTATTTGTTGGCAACGCTGAATAGAATAGATGCTTTTAACATAGAACAAGGTTTATACGCCATTCTGACCAGAAATAATGCAAACTCAAAATTCCACATGCTTGTAATTTCTTCTATATTCGATTTGGGATTAAAATACATACAGGGAGAGTTTGATTCAATTATAATTGGAAATTTGCTGTAATTAACTGATCGATGGTAGTTGTCATTTGCGCAAATTTGAAAGCTTAGGTTAGTTTTTGTGTCGGAAAACTCCGAAAAGGTATGATGATTTATTTAAATATTTGATCAATTTATAGATTATTAAGTAAATATTTCATGCTGTTTATATCGCATTAGATACGTCGCACCATCCAAGACCTTTTTTGTATTGATTTCAAAGCTTTTTCATATCTCCACCTTGAATGAATTTAATTCCAGACATACCAGATAATTGTATGCCTATGGATTGAGGAATATGATATTTAACAAAAGGAGATTTGTTAAAAGGTAAGTTTCAGTCATACTTTCCTTAGCTGCTCGATAGTATAGTTGGTCGTTGTTATTAAATGTTAATGTGAGCTATCAGTTCTGTGCTATTTTAGACTTTGATACGGGAGTTCCTTTTGCGTTATCACTCTAAAATGGGTGATCAGGGCGAAAATGATATTTTCGATGATGAAATTCTTGACTATGGATTAGCTTCATTTGGGTCCTACTTGATCCCGTCAATTCTACTGATTTTTGGTGCTCTCACATTATTTGATGTGTAAGTATCACTAATTTCTTTCTTCCTCTAGTCAAACTTTTAATTCCTTTCACACCATGCCCCGGTATAACGGCGGTATCTACAATTAACAGCCGATTTGTTTGCAACAAACACTTTTATTGAAGGCTATTATTACATAATATTAATCAAGTGCACATCAAGTAGAACAATTTTATCTATAGAGGTGGAAAATTTGCCTCGTTTTTATTGCACTAGCAAAAACTCATTCAATATAGTAGCCAGCAACTTGCCTAGTCAGTGTATATCAGTGTCTCAAGTTTGGAAAGTGTTAATTTTATCTGCCAACATCGTTAAAGCTGGTTTATATTTAATCCTGTCGCAAACAAACATCACTAAATTTGTTAAGCCGTTTTCGGCTTAAATAATAGGAGCTCTTTTCAATTCAACCAAATGCTGGTAAAAACTGCATGAATTAAATTGAATGCTTAAAACTGAAAAAGCGCAACGCACTGTAGATTTGTATAATTTGCTAAGCGGAAAAACCACAAAGTTTTTCACATTTCTTGAACACAGAGCACTATGATTATATTTAAGTGCTGATGATCACATCACGATGTTTACAAAAAAAACAAAGTTTGACAATATAAAGCTCCCAAATAAATTTGCTGAGAGGAAGTGCACTGAAATCGTATTAATCAATTATAAGATAAATTTAATCAGTCATCATGCCATCGCTGCGTCTTCAGTTAGAGTAATAAAATTATTGTTATTCCACCGGTAAATGATAATTGGGTATTTTACTGATTAAAAATTGATTGATCTCTTTCAGTTCAATAATACAATTATAATTTTTATGCTAAAGGCATTAATTACTGTCTAGCACACTTCTGCTGCACGGAGACGTGTTTATGAATAACTAAAACTCGATAGCTGGAGATAATTCAGTGTGTAGCTCCATATAGTCCAACAGCTTATCTGCTTCTCGTGAATTTCACTGAACAGCAATTTACATTCAATAAAACTCTTATTCGTTACTATTGGTTGAAGCAATATTTAAGTGTTCATTTTGTCATTTACAAGTTTGAAGTAACCATGGCTAAGGAGAAGTGTTTTGGGGATATTGAGTATAGTTCAGTGATGTGCGAGGAAAATAAGGAGATCGTTTCTCCTAAGGGTAACTGCAAGGGAATTATTTATAGGTATGATTTGTTTGTCTCCCCTATCTTGTATTTGGCTGTTAGCTGGATTTGTCTTTGTAGATGCTTAAATTAGTATTGGAAATACTATGAGTTCGCAATTGGGAATAAATTCATTGAATATACTTGAGACATTTTTTATTTATAAATTAGACATTTATGCAGGGCACCAAAGAAGTGTATGATTTGAAAAACACATCTGATTTGCTCTCACTTAAAACATTAGTCAAGAATATGGATCATTTGCTGAATTTATTCCAAATTACTAATTTTGACTGTATATAAAAAATCTGAGTTTGCTTGCGTGGTTTTACCGAATTCTTCCCATATATTTGAGGGATATTTTTAGTGGGCGATAACTTTAATAGTGTTAATCCTTATCTGTACATTATTACTCATTTAATCAACTCATGTATAATTGTTGACTTATCATGTATCAGCATGTTTTTCACACGAGCCACCATTTTGCATCAGTGCATTTTATTCGATAATTACCATAATTGTTCTCATTATTGTGTAACTCTGCCAATCACTTTAAAACGTGTTCCTTTCACTTAATTTCACATAAATAATATATTTTTTTTAAACATCAATACCTAGTTTGTATTCAAATGATTCGATCTGCTATAAATATATATATTTTTTTGTTTCAGGATTGCTTTGAACACATTGAAAATCATCCTTCTACTTTGCATAATACTGTTTGTGGTACTACCCATCATCTACCGGTATTCTTACGCATTTCAAAGGTCGGCAGTTTTTTTGAATTTCAGTAAGTGTTTTATTGGCTGGATGGAAATTTTCGAGGTTTCAAGCTGTTTTCAGTGACTTATTTTTTTTTTAATGAAAACAGAGTGAATTTTACTTTGTGAGCCTATTGACTCTCTCCTTGTATCAACTGTATTTCTTCATTTCTTAAGTTCTGCTGAGATCTGAGACCCGTCTTCAAAATAACAAATTTGTTTATAATTATCCCTATTGATTAAAATGCATTTTTTACAGTTAATGTACCTGCCACGGCCAATTATCAACACCCAGAAAAGTACGGACTAAATGGAGCCAGAAATTTCTACATAACAGTGGATGATGTTAAATTGGGTGCCTGGCAGATCCTGCCCAGCAACTTAGAAAACACCAACGATGCAAGCCATGAGTTTTTCGAGAAAATGCTGAATGACGGTCAAAATGTGGTCATTTATAATCATGGAAATGGAGGATGCCGGCTGACCGCCCATCGAGTCGAGACTTACCAAGTTTTGAGGAAGTTTTTCCATGTCATCACTTATGACTATAGAAGTAAGAGCCTGGATACAAGGTAAACCGGGTTAGTAAAGAGCCTGTTTGCTTCTTCAGGTTACGGAGACTCTTCGAGTAAACCCCCAAGCGAGCAGACGGTTGTGGAAGACATTTTGCATGTTTACCAATGGGTGAGGAACCGAACAGAAAGCAATGTGTTCATTTGGGGACATTCATTGGGCACGAGCGTCTCTACCCATGCCATACAGAAGATTCAGACTTTGAGCACTTCTCAGCCTGTAGGGTTGGTTTTGGAGGCTCCTTTTAATAATATGAAAGAGGAGATTAGTGAGTTTCCTCTGGCAAAAGTAAGGAAATTATTCTGCAAAGTGAGCAGTCATTGATTAAAAACTTGCTTGGTTTTCGGTAGATTTTCAAGTTCCTGCCTTGGTTCCGATTAACTATCGTTGAGCCCATGTCTGAGAACTTCCGCTTTGAAACTGATAAGTATATTTGCGGAGTCAATCTCCCAATCATGATTTTACACGCTGAGGACGATAAAGTCGTACCGTATAAGTTAGGGGTGAAGGTAGGTTACTTTTCCTTTTTTTTAACAATTTTTTAAATAATCCAATTGTACTTTTTCAGCTGTATCGAAGTGCTCTGAAGTGTCGTTCAGAGAGTCAAGGAACTCTGTTGTTCCACCGTTTTAGCGCGGACCATAAATTCGGACATAAGTTTATCTGCAGAGCTGCGGATCTCCCGGATAAGATCAGGTACAAATCTGTCCTTTTTGATTTACTTTATTTCTGCAATTTTTTACCTGCCCTTCGTTTTGTATATTACATTCGCATTTAAGCGATCTGATCATCTGTTGAGGGTTTCAAAATGAGTTTTTTCATTTTTGGAAAAATCACTAAAAAAAATTAATTTATTTCAGCAATTTCATTCAATTGGCCCTGGAAAACAAAAGTGACAAACTTCTTCAACAATAAGTAGCTTGAGGGTGGTTCAGCTGCCTCAGAATTTTTCAAGTAGCAATTCCCTCTGTTAGTCCAACTGTAAGTCTGTGATGTATTTATTAATTTTCATGGGAATTGTTAACCGAGCAAAAATTAGCGAACGTCGAGAAAACAATTAAAGGTAACTCAACCTTCGCACGTTCTTTGAATCTTGTATTTTTGCACTAAGCAATGAAGCGGTGTTCTCAGGCTCTCTGATAATATTTCTCTTATACATTAAGTATTACCAATAAATTTGAAATTAAATTAATGAAAATCGAAATTAAATAATAGTAAATAGTAGGTAAACTACTGCGATACATGAACAATTCTTTATTTAAATATAGTCAGTGAACAATAAGTGTTTTATGTTTTATTATGTGTCTTATACAACGATTTATTAAGATAAAAAAGAATATTCGCAACTCCGTAAGAGATTTTCTTTACACTCGCTTCTGATGGCATGGCCTGGAAATGGGTTAGTTTTCAAATACACTCGGTTTACAGCCATGCCAGGAAAGCAAAGGTTTTTTACAAACAAAATTTGCCTTATAAACAGATAAAGACATTTGGAACAGAACGATTAAGTTTCGAAATCGTACATAACTCAGTGACCGGCGAATGTTCTCTAATTGCTCAACAACAACTCTGCTCGTTTCCATTACGCGTTTCATTGGGCTTACATTGGAAATGCGTAACGGAGACACAGTTCTAATAGAGCCAAGACTGAACGACCGAAAACCGACGTTGAAAGGAGTCACGTCTATTTTCACAAGATGAACAAATATTATGGTATCTCCTTTCCACTTCCCATTAGGGATAACGTCCACTCCCGGCCCACGATACATATATTACGTTATCTACGTTCAAAGTGGGCTCAATTTGAAGGTAAATAACGCTTACAAATTTCCAGTTACATCAACAACATTGATTGATATCTAGTTATTCACACATATTTACTTCTGTATTTTTTATATTTATTTATATGCACATCTCAAATTAGGCGGTTATGTACAAAAAACTATTCTACACCTTTATCTACATAGTTATTCTTTACATATAAAAACATTTAGTCTTGATCTTAAGCGTCATATTTTTCAGGAGATAGAAATTAATTGGTTGTTCCAAACACGTCTTAAGCTTGTTTAGGTACACAATTAAAAACTCCAAACAGGGTTTGAGCTTACAAAAAACCGACGATAGAAGGATGGGAAATTTTAGTTAAATTATACAGGGTGTTTAGCGTAACCAAGCAAACCTCTCTATAAAACTGTCTCGTTTGTGCAGGTTCGGGGACCATTAACTATCGAATATCGCGAGGAACCGTTTCTGGCGCTGGACGCCCTGGTCATAAACAGTTCCTTGAATGTTTCGCGAAACTGTCGCGACATTCCGCAATAAATGGCGAAATTAATCGGGTAGCTCAATATAATGAAGAAATTTGTAAAAATGATCAACGTATTAGCCACGTCGTAGTCGAGAAACTCAATAATCGAACTGGATATGATATGTAACATTGTCACTACAGCCAAAGGAATTTCAACTATTAAAAACACGCTCACCACCACAATTAGCATCAGGGTGGTACAGTTTGAGTCGCGTAGTTTTTTGCATTCATTCTTCGGGTTTTTCTTCGACGACAGCAAAATGTCTCGTCGCTTTTGGGCCTGCTTCAGCGTGCGGAAGAGCAGAAGGTTGAGGGTCACTAGTGCTATGCAGGGCACGAGATGGACAAATACCAATCTGAAGACGTAGTAGCAGATGTAGTACACGTCGATTGTGATGTAGTTTTCCACCCAATCGGCGCTCTTTTTCCTGCAAACGTCCACCAGCTTGTTGTTCCATGTTATTTGAATCTAAAATGTTAAAATTTACTAGTCAATTATCGTGTACCACTAAAAAAGTTGACATTTTTACGCGCGTGAATTTATGTGAACATAACATTCTAAAGCAGCCTGATGCTTCTAAAAAGCAATTGCGGTCCATTAGCTTTCATTAATTGATTGAATTGTCCTCTAAATTGCTCCACTTTATTCAATTCCATTCTGGATTAATTCTAGATGGATCGCAACACGACCGCAATGTTATCAATGAGCAACTTCTAGGTCAACATTTCCAACCGTTTTCCTGTCCCTTGAACTGTTTAAACTGTCGATCACGTGCGATTCGCTATCGGGAAACAAAAATTATGTGAAAGAGTCGGAGAAGATTCTGGGGGTGGGCAAACAATCTCCCCGTTTTCAGTCGAGGCCAAAATGCCCAAAAGTTAATAATCGCAGCACACGTGCCAATTGAAAATGCTGGAAAAATATTGGAGAATTGTAATTCTGCTTTTGACACATTTTACCAATTGGGTTATTTCCATTTAAAAATGCGATTGGGCTTCCTCAATTAATTAAAGTTAAAGCAAATACGAAAATTGAATTTCGATTTGCTTTTCTGCGCGGGTTCAAACACAGAAAACTCACTCTGCTTGCGCACCGTTGGAAATGGACTCATTTCAAATAGTCGTTTGATTTATTCGGGCCGTAATTTAAAAACTTTGCTGTTTTATAATTAGCGAATTAAATGTTTTTAAATATTTTCGCCGTGTTGCATCTCACGGCTATCTTTCCCCCATTAAATTTTTAATAGCCGAAACTTTTCCATAAGACGCAACTTTTCACTCTGCGCTTGCCGAGATCATTCGGAGTTTTCAAAGTAATACCAAAAGATAAGGCGAACGGTATGAGCCCCCAACATTTAATAATCCACCTGGTTTATGGCGACCGTAAATTTTTCAATAGGTTTACAACCAAAATGCATTTTCGGCTACGACCTGCTGGAAGTGTTTTGCCCGAGGGGTGAAAGTTTTATCTGTTATGGCATGGATATGTTCAGCATTCCAAGCAAGTCCATCGGAAACTGGATAAGATTAAATGGATTTTAATATCAAGCAGGTAAAGAAAAGGACACGTATTTGAGGCTGATGGGAAATTGATTGAAGCAGGTATGTTTTGGTCAGATGCCGCTAATAAGTAAGCGTTTTTATACTAGTTTTAGTCACTTTGTCTAGATTGGGCAGCCCATCAGCTGTAAAGGACCTAAAAATATGTTTAACTAATCTTTTTATAGCAGGTGTTCAAACAGTCCACCCTCATTATGCACATTTTTTAGCTTATTTTTTACGTTTTCTAAAGTTACTAGTGTACTGAAATATTGCGAAAACTTTGCCTTATTCTTGTTTTCATCTCTTCAGCTAAGTTTGGCGAAGACAATAATACAATGAAGACAATTTTTTAAAAAGACAAAAATTACTATAAATTGTTCATTTACTGTTGCAGGCAATAAATATACCCAAAAGTCCGATTTCTTAAAACTTTAAATTACTTATCGTCCAGAGCATTTCGCCCAATTCTCGAGTGAATTAACTTCCGAAGTACCGATGAAATAAACGTTTTTTCCGTACTTTCACTGTATCAAGTGCTTTCGCACTACAAGCTCCGGTAAAGTTCTAAAAGTTGCGCTTTACACATATACGCGCTCCCATTACTATTTAAATTATTTCAAATGTCCGGATTAAATTTATGTAGTTTGCAGCATCCAGCGTGCACCTGGTGGAAATTAATGGCGTGCAGAAAACTCCCCTCTATGCTAATTAAGTTGATTAAGTTATTCCCCATCCACACAACATGCATAAGTCATGCGAGTTATACTTTGGAAAACTTGCCGATTTGTTCCCGCGAGACGCGAGAAACGAACACATTTTCCAAGTTTTTAGTCTCAATCTTTAGCCAGTGCAATGTATGTAAAGTTGGTCTTGCTGACACAGCTGCTCTTCGTCGATTTTCCAATTATAGGGGATGCCATTTGGAGTTTGCCTTGAATAAAGTGACGAGACATATTTTAGGGGTTTCTTTGAGAGACGCTCGTAAAACTTTGGAATTTCACAAGTTTACAACTACGTTTTGTCCTTTTGTGCCCTAGATTTAGCATGGGAATCATTCAATCTTGTTCAATTGCTTAACAACTGAAACTGTTTTCATCAAGGTTTCTTTTGTAGGCGAAGCAAAAGTAAAAATTTCTTGAAGGCTGTTGAACTTGGAAATGTTAATTTTGTTCTGCTCTCGGCTTTTTTGCGACCGCACTAATTTTCTTCGTAACGGCGCTGGATAAAGTACAAGTTGCGCCCTACTGTTTACTTAGAATAAATTCAGACCAGTTTCGTTCTCCAACAATTCCTGTAGGCAGGTAAAAAGTGGCCTGGCAAAGAAACTCCATAAATGAGAAGTTCGCCCGTTAAAACTTTTGCTGCTTTTTGTTTCAGTCCCTTTTTTTACTCCGTCTACTATTTTCTTATACGTTGATACATTTTCTTAATATTAAATCAGATTTTTCAGTTTCTGTTGCTTTACCTTCAGCGCTCATGAAACCTGCATGAAGGTACTTACTTTATGTATCCCATAACTGTATATTCTAGTCCAATAATTGCTGTCTCTGTAAATGGGAATTTAAGACCTCGGTGTTGTGGATTTTGGGCCGATGCAACGCGAAGTTGGATGCGAATTTATGGCGAATAACACTCCTTGTGCTCCAAAACGCGCCATATATCTGAGTAGAGTTGTGGAGCACGATTTGAATTTTAATTAATGGCTCAGATAACGCCTTTGATTATGTGCTGAGTAAGTCGAGGTGCTCAATTCATATTCATTTACATATGAAGATTTTTGTGCCACGACGGTCCAAAATGTGTTTAAGGTCCGAGCCGATTATAATTTTTTTGAAAATATCTAATAAATTCTTCCCGCATATTTTCCTATCAAGCTAAGAAAAAGAACAAACCGAACGCAATTAATTACTCTTTTATGGACACTTGTCTTGAGAAATAAAATTTTCGCTAATATCTGGCTGAAGCTAACATCATTATCCTGCAGGCACTTGATCCAGATAATGTAATTTCGTCTTCCCCATTTACCCTTATGCTTTTCTTATCTCGGCCCGGATCCACAGACAGCGACAACATAATGCCCTATTCAGAAACAACTCCTAAGCGCCAATGGGGCATAAAAACTTCACCTCATTCCCCTCAATTACCTCAATTTTGACTTTTGCCCAATGAATTGCTATGAATGTTTCGAACATCTGGGCTGTTGATGCTTTTGTTCGCTGATGTACTCAGTTTTCCATTCACCAATATTATTTAAATACAAGGTCCTTTTTAGCTGCCAAGCGGACMAAAGTATTTGGAAACAAATTGTCCTTTTAGTCGCTAACAAAACCGTTAATTTCGATTTATGGACACCAATCTTCAGTTATTTAAGTTAGTCTACGCGTATGAAAAAGAAATTGAAGAAACAGACAGAAGTAACAAAGAAAAAGAAGTCGCAGTTTTCGCATGTTTTCAAAACGTTTTTTTTTGGGTAATTTGCCTCGAAWTTTTTGCCTTWTTAAAGCACATAATTTCCTCACGTCTTTTAATAAAGACTGATAAAAAGCATATATTTTACACAATAAAAAACGATTTTTTTTTATCAAAAGACAATCCAGACTATTGGGCACGACACAAGTCAATGTATGATCGCTTTCTGGGTCAAAACTACTCGAATTTCCTCACTCATGTTGCTATGACTGATCGAATTTTCAATTCTCTATCCAACTATGCCAAAACGAATTCTGTGGCTCAACTGGGGCTGGAGAAACTTCGAAAAAAGCAGCGTCATGTTTGAGTCGATTTTGCAACTAAGAAACACACGCAAATTTACTTACTTCTTGAAACCAAGACTTTTTTGAGAAAGCTGGCAACATTTCCTTATCGATAGTTCACTTTCTAAAAAGGCCATTTAGTTCTCTCTGGAATGATGTAAAAACGAGCGCTCTTGCTTATTTCGATTCCGAGAAATGAGCAAAAACGGGACGGAAAACATGAAATTTTGGGATAATCTTGCACCTAAGTGTCTGATATTCAAATTTCGCTTTCTGGTCAAAACTACTCGAATTTCGACACTGATATTGTTATGGATAAATCGAATTTTTAATTCTCTATCCAACGATGCCAAAACGAATTCTGTGGTTCAAATGGTTCTTGAGAAATTTCGAACAAAGCAGCGTCATGTTTGAGTCGATTTTGCAACTAAGAAACACGCCAATTTAAAACTTCTTGAAACCAAGACATTTTTGAGAAAACTGCCAACATTTTCTTATCGATAGTTCACTTTCTAAAAAGGCCATTTAGTTCTCTCTGGAATGATGTAAAAACGAGCGCTTTTGCTTATTTCGATTCCGAGAAATGAGCAAAAACCGCACGGACAACATGAAATTTTGGCATAATCTTGCACCTAAGTGTCTGATATTCAAGTTTCGCATTCTGGGTAAAAACTACTCGAATTTCGACACTTATATATGTTGTTATGTTTGACTCAATTTTGCAACTCAAAAAAGTACAGTTATTCAGGCAAAACTGACTATTTTTCACTGTTTTACTTAACCAACAAAAAAGACAGGAAATTGAATTAATCTTTGAGCGACTCAGGCCCTGCATTAAGTCAATAATATGTAGATAATCCCAGTTAAAATGACAAAGTTATTTATTTGAATTTACATATTTCTCTCTTTTCCATAGCCGGGGAATATTTTGCCGAGAGACAGCCGAAGAATTAGCATTTTTTCCATTAAATTTACGACATGAAGTAGACCTTGACATAGCATGTCCATTTGTTTGAAATTAGTTTGTCCCTTATGGAACGACCAGCGAATATTGAGTGGTAAAGGAAATTAGCCAGTTTAGACGAGTTAGTGGAAACTGGAAAAAACGAAACTGGCCAATGATGAAAATTCCGATTTCCAAGCCCTTGATTGGTTCCTCCTGTAACTGAGTTAT